AGATCTTTCTGGTGGAAAACCGTCCCCTCGAGACAAGAGTAGTGAACCCTGGGTATTTAATTGGGTTGAGTTTCCTGTCTTTAGATTCCTATCTTCCTATCTTTCATCATTCATCTTCACTCGGTCATCCTCATTAATATCGTAATAGCTTACTCACTCATTCACTTTCTCACTCACTCACTCACTCACCCACTCACACTCTCTTTCTCACACTTTTACTCACTTACTGATTCTCTTACTCACTCACTCACAACCCAGCACATAAACTGGTTAAATGGGCATCTTTATGACACTTTGTTTGAATTTTAGGAGATTTAAAAATACGTTAGCAATCTCTCACATTACGTTTAATATAGTTCACTTCATACACTGTCACTTTACATAATTACACTTTCTATTATTAGACTTCATAACGTACATTTCTCATAATTACACTTTCTATTATTAGACTTCATAACGTACATTTCTCATAATTATTATTAGACTTCATAACGTACATTTCTCATAATTACACTTTCTATTATTAGACTTCATAACGTACATTTCTCATAATTAAACTTTCTATTATTAGACTTCATAACGTACATTTCTCATAATTACACTTTCTATTATTAGACTTCATAACGTACATTTCTCATAATTACACTTTCTATTATTAGACTTCATAACGCACATTTCTCATAATTCCTCATCAATTTTCATAGTACTAAATTCCATAACTGGACTTCCTATGTTTAGATTTCATCATATTACATTTCTTAGTAGTTTTACACTTCATAAATTACATTTCATATGACTACATTTTATTTTATTACACTTCATATAACTTATACATTAAACTATTAAACATTACATTTCACAACTGGTTACCTATTGTGGCTTTTCAATTCAGTTTCATTTCTTATAAAATTACATTTTCTTTCCTATATATAATCCAATTAGCTTTAAGATATACATTTAGCCTAAAGATAAATTTCATATGAAGTTTCATCTTAAAATTCCAATGTTTTATTTCAATACCTAAAATTGACCTAAACTTACTCAAAATAATGTAAGATAGGCACCACTAGGCCCCCAGTCTGGCTCAGTTTCATTTGCCATAATACTTTTGCCATAATTACATTTGCCATAATACATTTGCCAGAAGTAGCACTTCCCAAAAATTACACTTGCCATAAGTTACACTTGCCATAATGGTTAGAATTGCCATAATTACACTAGCCATAATTAAAATTAAATTTGGTTAGAAATAACAATAATATATATATTTTTTAATTACAAATTACATACAAATTACAAATCTAATTCAGAGACAGTTCGAATTCGGGTTCGAATTCTAGCTGAGCACATTTTAATCGAACATTTCCAATATTTCACTTCTGTAAACGAAGTATTGACTACATATAGGTGTAGTTGTTGCTGTCTCAACCATTGGTTAACCCTTACTTGTGGTCTCAAAGATCACCAAAGGGTCCTCCATTGTGAGAACATGTGGAGCTGAACTTGTGTCAACTGTTCTGTTTTAAAACAATGAGAAAACTAAAGTTTTATATCTTTTTAAAAATTAGAAAATTATGAAAAAATTAATTATAGAAAGTGTAATTATGGCAAGTGTGACTCATGGCAAGTGTAACTTATGGCAAGTGTTACTTATGGCGAAGGTATTATGCCAAGTGTAATTATGACAAAAGTATTATGGCAAATGAAACTGAGCCCCCAGTCTACACAAGCTGTGGCACTCAGCCCATATTTGTGTTATTAATACATCCTAGCCCCAGAGTTAGGCCCAAAAATGTCCGATTAAAAAACGCTTTTTTTCTTACTGAAATCAAAACATTTAAATCCTTTATGACCTCAGCGCTACAGATTGATTTAATACCTCTATGATATCCTATGGAGGTCATATCCTGCAAGGATAAATTTAATATAGGGATTAAGTATTTATACTCAACTAGATATCAAGATCAAATATTCAAGATTAACAATACTTCCATACAATAATTTCCGACCATAAGTCAGTTGACCGTCAACATTGAGTGTCAATAAAACTGTAATATTATAAAGATATTTATTTTATCAATAGTTCCACAGAATATTGAACTGCTTAGCTAGTGTAATCAAATTAGAAAATTTTCCTACGTGGTTACCAAACCCCTCCCCTCAGAAATTACCCTTTTTTGAGTAATCCCCCCTCCCCCCGGTCTTATAACACTAGTTGCGCCGACGGCCATAGAGAAAGTGTCCATTAAGACCCGTTGTATTTATCTATCTATCTGCTTTACTTAAATACAAAACTTATACAATTTTTATCTTTTATTGTACACACAGAAATATAAAAGTGGATAAAAATCAAACCCATTAAAAAAAAATCTAAACAATCCATGGTTTCCAAAAAAAAATTAAATTAAAAAAAAGAAAATTGTATTTTTTAATCATCCCTGATTTCCCCTGGTTTCCCCTCATCTGAGTAAGATTAAATGGATGGTTAGCTAGACATCAATAATGGCGTAGGAAGGAAAAGTGAAATATAATATAGGATAGTTTATAAACTTTTTTTCTATAAAAGAACAGTAAAACCAATGAAAGATAAAATATATTTGTTAAGTAAGCTAGCATGAACAATAAAGAAAAGTTAACTCTATCTATCTATCTATCTATCTATCTATCTATCTATCTATCTATCTATCTATCTATCTATCTATCTATCTATCTATCTATCTATCTATCTATCTATCTATCTATCTATCTATATATCTATCTATCTATCTATCTAGTTTGTAAAGATTTTTAAACCACATTTTATCCATTCCTAATTGTTGTTATACACATTTGTTTATCCTACGTGTTATATGTTTAAAAAAAACCAACACGCATACGTGCTTATTTAATCTTTACTCACTCCTCCTTATTTCTAGTCTCATTGGTACACACGAGTATTTACAGTTAAACGCTGTAGTATGAGTAGTTCAAGTACAATTCTGAACCAGTCATCTTCACTTTCATCCTTGTCTACTCTCTCGTGTCCTTTTATTCTCATACACGTCCTTGTCTACTCTCTCGTGTCCTTTCATTCTAATACACGTCCTTGTCTACTCATTCGTTTCTTTTCATTCTCATTCACGTCCTTGTCTACTCATTTGTGTCTTTTTATTCTAATACACTTCCTTGTCTACTCATTTGTGTCCTTTTATTCTAATACACGTCCTTGTCTACTCATTTGTGTCCTTTTATTCTAATACACGTCCTTGAATAATCATTTATGTCCTTTTATTCTAATACACGTCCTTGTCTACTCATTCGTGTCCTTTTATTCTAATACACGTCCTTGCCTACTCATTCATGTCCTTTTATTCTCATACACGTCCTTGTCTACTCATTTATGTCCTTTTATTCTAATACACGTCCTTGTCTACTCAATCGTGTCCTTTTATTCTAATACACGTCCTTGTCTACNCTTGTCTACTCATTCATGTCCTTTTATTCTAATACAAGTCCTTGTCTGCTCAATCGTGTCCTTTTATTCTGATACACGTCCTTGTCTGCTCAATCGTGTCCTTTTATTCTAATACACGTCCTTGTCTGCTCAATCGTGTCCTTTTATTCTAATACACGTCCATGTCTGCTCAATCGTGTCCTTTTATTCTAATACACGTCCTTGTCTACTCATTCATGTCCTTTATTCTAATGCACGTTATTCAATGGATGTTGTTACAAAGCAATTTCTTTTTTAAAACTTTTTAAATCACGTATTTAGGAAAATGGGTCTGCTTACACAGTATACTGCACATTTCTGTGTCTCATGTTTTTTGGACTATTTAAAGTCATATCTTGAGTCTTATTGTCGTCTTCCTATTATAGACTTTTATGGTTCTCACTGTAACTCTCTGTAAGTCTTCAAAATCATGTCCTTGCCGTCTAATCCATGTCTTTACCTTCTCAATCGGGTCCTTTTTTTGTTACACGTCCTATTCACGTCCTTTTCTTTTTGTTACACCTCCTTGCCTTGTCTTTCACGTCCTTTTATTTTTGTTACACCTCCTTGCTTTCTAATTCACGTCATTTTCTTTTTGATACACTTCCTTGCCTTCTCATTCACGGCCTTACCTTCTCATTCACGTCCTTTTCTTTTTGTTACACCTCCTTGCCTTCTCATTCACGTCCTTTTATTTTTGTTACACCTCCTTGCTTTCTAATTCACGTCATTTTCTTTTGTTACACCTCCTTGCCTTCTCATTCACATCATTACCTTCTCATTCACGTCCTTTTCTTTTTGTTACACCTCCTTGCCTTCTCATTCACATCCTTACCTTCTCATTCACGTCCTTTTCTTTTTGTTACACCTCCTTGCCTTCTCATTCACGTCCTTACCTTCTCATTCACGACCTTGCCTTCTTATTCACGTCCTTGCCTTCTCAATCACATCCTTACCTTCTCATTTACGTCCTTATCTTCTCATCTTAGTCCTTTCTATATTTTTCAGATCTGAAGCTAGTTTACAAAATGATTTTAAGAACTTTTCTGTTATTGCTGAAATTCATTGATTTTACTGATTCTTTTAGAGTACAGACGTAAGAATGTTTTTTTTCTACAGTGTTCCTCTAAATTGTTACATTTTCCCTGGGAATATATCCGATATTTCCTAAATTGAAAAAAAGTTTAAGAATCGTTTGTAAAGATCTAAAATTCTGAATAAATTAATGCATCATGCTAAAACGTGTTTGAGATTATAAAAATAATAATAAGAATTATAAAAATGATAATAATAATAATAAGCTATCTAGGGAAGATTTCCCCCTGTTGATGCCAAACAGCAAACCAATTTTACCTGAAACCTATCTTTGCACAACTTTACGCCTTGATGAAAACAATACTTACTACATAGGTCAGTTGATGATACCAGAACAAAGGTCGGTTGACAAGAAAGAGATAAGTGAAATGAAGGGATCAAGTATTTATCCTCAAATTTAAAGTTTCCACAATGGATATTGAGATGAAGGGTTCAAGACTAACGATACCAACAATATTTTGTTTAGTTGGGTTTGAACCCCAGGCTGAAGAGTATAGGGCTCATCATATGCTACTCTACGGGTGTAAACAACCAGGGGAGAAGGAACCAATATTTAGGTAGAACACTGACAATCAACCAATCAATTTGATAATCAGTTAATCAATCAATTACTGAATCCATCCAGCAATCAATTAATCAATCAATACATAAATCAATCAATTAATCAATCAATAAATAAATCGTTTGTTCAACCATTTAAACAAATAAGTGTCAGTAAATAAAAGGAATTGAAATATAATTTCATGATTTACAACGTCGCCATCTAAACGATTATCTGATCAATAATACGACAGAATCAATTTTCAAAATTAGAAACAAAGATTTCTCATTCATCCTTAGTGCCGAGTCATTGGTTTAAAGGTTACTGTTGTGAATCGAATAAACTAATTTTTAAATAGAAGGTTGCTTGAATTTAGGTTTACAGTACAGTCCCTTACTTACTTACCCCTACTTTGAGCTGAAAACTTTAGAATGGTGGATATTAAGATTAATGCTTAAACTCCTGGGTTATTTTAAAATGCATTCGATATCCAAGAAAGAAGTATAAAATTTAACCAATCAGCGTGCATGTCATGTTAAGATGTACTTTAGAAAACTGGTTTTGATTTCTGGTGTTGATGGTGTCATATCAATTGAACTAAACATCGATTGAACGAACGTAAGTTTTGGATTAATGTTTATTAAGACTAATGTTCATAATGCCAAAATGTCCTTAAATATGTTTTTTAATAATTTCACATTAACATGATAAAACTTATATTTGTTTAAATGCTCTAAAAGCCGGATTGTGAACAGCTGACTTTCTCAATCGGATATTAGTCCAATCGAAATAGCATTGTTTCTGTAATTATTTGCAACTTTATACAGTAGAAATATCCAAAAAAAGGAGTATAATAAGAAAATCAAAAACGTGTACATTGGATAATCAGATTAAGCGATCGTGATGAAGGATATTTCATTCTAAAGTTTTCAGCTTTGGCCGTATATGTGAACACTGAGCATGCCCGCTTCATAACTGTAATTTTTAACAAAAATTAACGAGATATTCAATTGTTTTTCTATTTCATACATTACAAGCTTAACTGTGGGTTCTTAAATGGCTAGCGGGTATTTGCTGCAGTGACAAGGGCGGAAATTTATAGAATTTGATTGTTTTAAAGATATAAAAAGCGATATAATCCCTTCTGTGTTTCTAAGAACTCAATGAAGGATAAAACATGCAATTTTTTTGGTTAAAAGAGCAAACTTCCTAATTTTCAAAAAAAAAATCCCGAAATAAAGTCTCTATTCCATGTTTCTTTTAGTTGTGGAGAAATGGGTACTTCACTAGACGGAACTAAACGAGCCTCACCCTGCAGGTTTTTTATATTATTGGACTATATAGCACATATAATTTAGGATATTAACTACATATAACATTACTAGGCATTCAGGGCGCTTCGCGCCCATCTTCTATTTAAATTGTGAACATGTTCTTTTTGTTTACATTTTAAAACAAAGAAGAAAAACATTTTGCGGATTTAAAAAAAAACTCGCGGATTTTCAAGAATTTAAATCTTTTTACAAAATTAAAAACCTTTAATTTTAATTGTGAACATGTTCTTTATGTTTACATTTTTAACAAAGAAGAATTTTTTTTGCATATTTTAAAAAAAATCGCGGATTTTCAAGAATTTAAATCTTTTTACAAAATTAAAAACCTTTAAAACACATTTTTTAAAATTTTTTATCATTCATAAACCTTCCCTGTGGTCACGTGATGTCCCATAAAAATTTGGGCCCGATCGGTTCAGCCGTTTTGACGTTTATTGGATACAAACAAACAGACAGACAAGCCAAATTTATATATAGATTATTTTGGTTCGCAGTTTTATAAAGTAATTTTCAATTTATCGAGAAGGTTCAAGTCTTTTTAGATTTTATTTTGTCCCGAGCTTGAGCAAAGGTCAAAATATAATCTAAAAAGGCGAGAACCTTCGAGGTATCGAGAAAATTTAAGTCCAAAAACTTTATAGCACGTCGTGCCAAAATAATAGTGTTATAGAGTGGTAAGCGATTATATCAATACAATGAAGACGATTTTTTAAATTAAGTTTTGACTGTTAGCAGTTAATTTGACTGTATAACACGACCAGTACTTCTTATTGCTGTTTATAATAAAATTTACCATGAAATGAGTAAGAATGATTAAGTACACAATAGTTTCATAAAATAATATTTTGCTGACGTTTGATACTTTACACTGCACAGAGTACTTTCTAAAAATATTTTGTAATCATGTTTTAAAGATTTAAATACCACTTAACAACTATTTTTATCCAAAAATTTAACATTTTAATGAACACTAAGACGAATAGTTAAAAAACATTCAGTTTTATACAAAAAAATATGTCTATCTTTTAAATATTATTTGTTCAAATTAAAATTTTAGTACAATAATATCTTAAGGTTCTTTGCAGTTGATAATTAATAGAGTTAAAGAAAAATGTTTTTATTCAATTTTAAGGGAATTTATCAAGCTTAATTTTCTCGTTGTAGGCTGATTAAGTTACTATCGCCCCAAGTTAAAAAAGACCTATTTCTTAAAGCTTAAATGAAGCAAAGCTTTGAAGTTTAAATAATGATTGAATTGGTTTGGATTTATTTGAATGTTTGGTTATATTCATTCAATTAGGTTTATGGCATAGTTTCACGGAGCCTACCCTTCCACCAGATTTCAAAATACAGAAGGAGGACAAATTTACTAGATTTTAATCAGATTTTAATCTTAAATTATTGATCAATTATCTTAACAGTTTATTTTAACATATGAAAAAGCCGTCCTTACACTGACATTAGAATTTAAACATATAATCAAATTTTTAAAACTTTTTTTACCTATTTATATCTATCTATCTATCTATCTATCTATCTATCTATCTATCTATCTATCTATCTATCTATCTATCTATCTATCTATCTATCTATCTATCTATCTATCTGTAGATCTGGTCAGAAGATAATCTACGCCTGGGCTAAGAATGCTCCTAAGCTTGATCTACCCAAGGGGGTCGGATTCAAGGTTGGAGGTCCAGGAGCTGATGTCAAGTACCTTGTACTACAGGTAGGTCAAGTACCTCGTACTTAGGTTGGTCAAGTACCTTGTACTCAGGTAGGTCAAGTACCTTGTACTACAGGTAGGTAAAGTACCTCGTACTACTGGTAGGTGAAGTACCTTGTACTACAGGTAGGTCAAGTATCTCGTACTACAGGTAGGTCAAGTACCTTGTAATACTGGTAGGTCAAGTACCTCAAGTACCTAGTAAAACAGGTAGGTCAAGTACTTTGTAATACAGGTAGGTCAAGTACCTTGTACTACAGGTAGGTCAAGTACTTTGTACTACAGATAGTTTAAGTGCCTCGTACTACAGTTAGGTCAAGCACCTTGTAATACAGGTAGGTCAAGTACCTCGTACTATAGTTAGGTCAAGTACCTTGTACTACAGGTAGGTCAAGTACCCTGTACTACAGATAGGTCAAGTAACTTTTACTAAATGCAGGTCAAGTACCTAGTCTTCAAAAGCGATCGTTTAAAAAAATCACTAACATACTTTATGTTGAGATACGGTTTGCCGTAACTTGCATATTTGAAAAATACCTGAAAACTTTTACACAAAGTATAAAAAACGGTCTCAAATCGTTTAAAAAAACGAGCGTTTTCTGAAACGATCGTTATTCGTTTTCTAAAAGTTCAAAACGAGTGGGTCGTTTTTAAAAACACCAAACACGAAACGATCGTTTTTGAAAACGATTAAAAAACGATCGTTTAACGATCGTTTTAAAAAACGATTAACAACCATAGCTATAGGTCAAAAACCTAATATCTCGATCTTAAGGTAGCTTAAGTAACCAAAACCCGGTACTACAGCTAGGTAGGTCAAGTTCCGGGTGTCAAGTGCCGGGTACCCGGTATTTGAGGTTCAATGCTTGATCTCTCAATCTGCAGTGTATGCCCGGGCAGTGGGCACCACAAGTTATTAATTAAAATAATCCGTTCGTCTGCTAAAGAGAGAGATCAATAATTGGTCCTGAGATTCATAATCACAACATAAAGTTCTGAGTTTTCATTTCATTTCTCTTTCTTTAAAATATTAATAAAAGTTCTACTTCAGGTTCACTACGCTAGAGTTGATAAAATACCAACCGAGGGAGATACATCTGGTGTTGTACTTAAGTACACTAATATACCTCAACCCAGGTACATATCTAGTGTTGTACTCAAGTGCACTAATATACCTCAACCCAGGTACACATCTAGTGTTATACTCACGTACACTAATATACCTCAACCCAGGTACATACCTAGTGATGTACTTAAGTACACTGATATACCTCAACCAAGGTACATATCTAGTGTTGTACTCAAGTACACTAATATACCTCAACCCAGGTACATATCTAGTGTTGTACTCAAGTACACTAATATACCTCAGCCAAGGTACATATCTAGTGTTGTACTCAAGTACACTAATATACCTCAACCCAGGTACATATCTAGTGTTGTACTCAAGTACACTAATATACCTCAACCCAAGTACATATCTAGGGTTGTACTCAAATACACTAATATACCTTGACCCAAGTGAGGGTACAGTTTACAACCCTAAATATGTACTTGGGGATGGAGTAAGGCCAACCACAACAATTTCTCGTCCGAGCCACATTCTCTTTATTTTCTCGTCCTTGCCACCTCGTAATCCTCGTCCTTTCAACATTTTTTTTTCAAGTGTCTAAACCTTCGAAATAAAACTATTTTTAAGAATCGGGCCACTGGCATTATATGAAATATTGAATTTTTATAAATTGAAAAAAAAGTTTCGATTAAATTAATGTTTTCAAGTTCAATGTCCTGTTCACCTTTTTTACGCGTTTCAGTTATTCTTGGTGTAGAATGCTGCAAATAATTCAGAGTTTATAGAACTTCAATCTTTTTTGTTAATTATAGTGAAAACCATAGAACTTTACCGGGTGGTTCCTTGGGCAAATGCTTTGCTATTTATTTGATATCGCGAAAGGTTAGACATCACGGAGACAGAAGAGATTTAAATTTTACCTAAATAAAGTTTGACATCATTCTCATGGATTTGATTTGAAGATCTCAAAATGATATAATCATTGCAATACTTTAGTCCATCCATATTTTATGCCCTAACGTGGTCAGATTAAAAAAAATAGTTTTATCTTCGAGAATTGGAGACCTTAAAACACATAATGGCTCGGACGAGAAAATGAGGAGAATGTGGCTCGGACGATAAATTGTTGTGGCTGGCCTACCTACCCTCCCTAAGTACATATCTAGGGTTGTGAAATGTATAATTTCCAAAAATATAGAAATTTGTAAGCATTTGTTACATGTAAAGGAGTGCTGGAGTGTACTTTGTTGGTACAGGAGGACTTATTCCCCCACAGTCAACTACACATATGGAAGCAGCCTGTACTCTTAGGAATATATATATTTTAGCAATTAATCAATCAATAAATTCTATGCAGCTAATCAATACGAGGAACAATTGATCAATTTTAATAAATAGATTAACCAAATCAACGCATTTGATCAAATCAAGTCAGTTAATCAATTCAAGGCAGTTAATCAATTTAAGGCAGTTAATCATTCGAGGCAGTTAACAAATTTAAGGTATTTAGTCAGTATAAGGTAAAATATCAAGTTAATCAATTCAAGGCAATTAATCAAGTCAAGACAATTGATCAATTCAAGGAAATAAATCAATTCAAGACAGTTAATCAAATCAAGGCAATAAATCAATTCAAAACAGTTAATCAAATCAAGGCAGTCAATCAATTCAAGGCAATTAATCAATTCAAAGCAGTTAATAAATTCAAGACAGTTAATCAATTCAAGGCAAGTAATCAATTCAAGGCGGTTAATCAATTCAAGGCAATTAATCAATTCAATGCAGTTAATCTTTTTGAGGCAGTTAATACAATCTAGCCAGTTTATCAATTTCAGGCAATTAATCAATCAAAGACAGTTAATCAATTTAATAATCAAGTAATGAGTCAATTTAATAATCAAGTAATTAGTCAATTTAATAATTAAGTAATGAGTCAAATATTCAAAAAAATATTTTATTTAATGTTTAATCTGAAGTATTTGAGTTGAAAGGATGGTTAAAGCTTTGTTTAGATATTTCAAAAGAAATTTAATATGAACGATGTTTTTCAAAAACAACCTTTATCTTTTTAAATAAAAATAGATTTCTTCCCCCCCCCCCCATTTATTTTAACATCTGAAGCAAATTTTTCATAAATTAAAATAGAAATCAAACGTTCATCTTGACTTTTGCTATACATATCTTTAAAAGTATGGGGAGGGGGGTGGATTTTATCATAATTATCAATTTTTTCCTTTTTTAGTTGGAAATCATATATTCTGCTTTCTTAGAGACTTAATTTAATCTTGATATCGTCATGTTTTAAAAGGTTAGGTTGTCATAATAGTCTCATTCTTTGTGGGTGACCCTGCATAGTCCATATTAAGCCACCGAATTATATATTTCATAATTGTCTCAACATTACCTGTAACTTAATATTCAATTTGGTGTTAACCTCCTAAAATATAAGTATTGAACCCTTAATTAAAAAGTCTTGTTTATTTAATTACTTTAATTTCCCGGAGGCCTAATGAGGTTTAGGACCTCCCAATCTCTCCTGTATGGTTCCAAAACACCCTGGGGCCTCGTACACTCTAAACTCTGTATTAATTATAAATAAAATATAGAAGGAATCACATAGAAAATCCTGAAGAACTCAGAAACATCTAGATAATTAATTTGATTATAGCAATTTTTATCGATATTATCAAGAAAAAGTGGACAGTAACAGCCTATAGAATGTATGAAAATTAACAAAGCAGTTGAGTCTTTGCCACAAACTCTGATTTTCTAATTCCTATAACTTTGTAACCCAATAACTGTGTATGCCTTAGATATTTCAAACTATGAATTCAATTGGATCAAATAATCGAAGTTAGAAATATCAAAGGTTCAAACCATTAGCTTGCAAAGACATGAGGATTGGAAATTGCAGAGGACCCAACTCTACTCCATTCAATAGAATATCAAGCATTCAATAGAATATCAAGTATAGAAGACCCCGCTTTGCTCTATTCTACAGTATAATAGTATAGAAGACCCCGCTCTACTCTATTCTACAGTATAATAGTATAGAAGACCCCGCTCTGCTCTCTTCTACAGTATAATAGCTCTACTCTATTCTACAGTATAATAGTATAGAAGACCCCGCTCTGCTCTCTTCTACAGTATAATAGTATAGAAGATCCCGCTCTACTCTATTCTACAGTATAATAGTATAGAAGACCCCGCTCTACTCTATTCTACAGTATAATAGTATAGAAGACCCCGCTCTACTCTATTCTACAGTATAACCAGTATAGAAGACCCCGCTCTACTCTATTCTACAGTATAAAAAGTACAGAGGGGCCAGCTCTACTCCATTCTACAGTATAACAAGTATAGAGGGCCCAACTCTACTCTATTCTACAGTTTAACAAGTATAGAGGGCCCAACTCCACTCTATTCTACAGTATAACAAGTATACATGGCCCAACTCTACTCTATTCTACAGTTTAACAAGTATACTGGGCCCAACTCTACTCTATTCTACAGTTTAACAAGTATAGAGGGCCCAACTCCACACTATTCTACAGATTAATAAGTATACAGGGCCCAACTCTACTCTATTCTACAGCATAACAAGTATACAGGGCCCAACTCTACTCTATTCTACAGTTTAACAAGTATAGAGGGCCCAACTCCACTCTATTATGCAGAATAACAAGTATACAGGGCCCAACTCTACTCTATTCTACAGCATAACAAGTATAGAGGGCTCAACTCTACTCTATTCTACAGCATGACAAGTATAGAGGGTCCAACTCTACTCTACTTTACAGTTTAACAAGTATAGAGGGCCCAACTCCACTCTATTCTACAGTTTAACAAGTATACAGGGCCCAACTCTACTCTATTCTACAGTTTAACAAGTATAGAGGGCCCAACTCCACTCTATTCTACAGTATAACAAGTATAGAGGGCCTAACTCTACTCTATTCTACAGCATAACAAGTATAGAGGGCCCAACTCCACTCTACTTTACAGTTTAACAAGTATACAGGGCCCAACTCCACTCTATTCTACAGTTTAACAAGTATACAGGGCCCAACTCTACTCTATTCTACAGCATAACAAGTATAGAGGGCCCAGCTCTACTCTTTTCTAAAGTATAACAAGTGTGTAGAGGGCCCAGCTCTTCTATATTCTACAGTATAACAAAGATAGAGGGCCCAGCTCTACTATATTCTACAGTATAACAAGTGTAGAGGGCCCAGCTCAGAATACTCATGAGGATTAAGTAATGGTGTAACTTTAACCATTCACGATCTTCAGAATCAGCAGGAGGACTAAATTAATTCAATTAAACAAATTTAATTATTAAAAGTTAATTTCTGAAAACTGAGGCCTTAACTCTAAAATAATGTTTTTAAAAAAACTACCAAAAAAATATATATATATGCAGAGAAAACCTTGAAATTCATCCATTTGCCTTCAGAACCCACACTCATTCATTGGGCAGGGTTGTTTCAGGATGGAAGGTAGATATGTAAAATACCATATATTAGTTTGAGAATAGTATCTCTAGTATATCTATGAATACCATATATCAGTTAGGATAGTATACTCTATATCTAGCATATCTTTGGAACCAGTATCTATCCAGGTACAGTTCAGTTTCACTTTGCTATCAATGTTTAAACTTAAACCTAGACACAATCTCGTTAACTATTAACGCCACTACCACTGAGCGCGATCTCGTTAGCTATTGGTGTCAAAATGGACACTAGCTATTAATCAAGGTCTACATGCCTAGCTATTAAGCTCTTAATCGAGCTCTAAATGCCACACAGGGACACAAGCATAGCTATCAAAGAAGCTATTAATCAAGCTCTAAATGCCACACAATGACACAAGAGTAGCTATCAAGTTCTTAATTGATCCGTACCAAATACAGAGGTAGGATCTCTGCCCAAATGTTTCAACGAGTACGCAATACTTTAATCAAAGCTGAGTTTCTATATTAAATAACTATATTTCTTTAGTTGTTATATATTGCATAGGTGAGCAATCACAATATGGGTATGAAAGAGTTATTATATATCTACGTTCATTGATTGGGTTAATCTCAATACATGATTTACTAATGGGCACATCTAGCTATATAGACAATATACAACGTAACCAAGAGGAAGTATTCAAATGGTGCATGAAGATAGAGACTCATCTGAGGAACTATGAACGGGAAACAATCCCAAATGAAGATATAAAGAAGATGCTGCAGTCCTGCATCAATATACCAACAAGGAGACACATAATACCATTTTTCCCCCATAGGATTAGCATTTGGAAGATGTGAAAAAGGAGTTTTTTTTTCACAGAAATGTTGAACAGATTCTCGCAAGAAAAATATGAGGAAAACCAGAAATATGAATTATTAGACAGGAAACAGGAGAGACAGGAGGATAATAAAGGATAAAATGTTGGACATAGAGAATTATACCAGAAACAGGAATTCTTAGACAAGAAACAGAAAAGTAGTGAAGACACCACAGAATAATATGCTGAAATTATGGGTAAAAGCATACAGTCCAGAAAACAGAATTAATAGATGAAGTGATCAAGGGATTGTATGAGGAAGAGTTGAAGGAGAAACCCCAACAGGAAAAAGAAATAAAAGCAATATTAGAATATAAATATAATTATAATTATAATATAAATATAAATATTTTCAGACAAATATCAGAGATCATAAGGTGGGGGAAACACAAAAAGTTAGTAAAAAACCAGTATCTTGTAATAATGCAGACAAAGAAGAAAAGACATCAAATGATTGCTGAGACAAGGAGCCTGGTGGTATGAAAATTTAAAGAAACATTTTCTAAAATCCAGACAAATGTTGGAAACCTGATACACTTCTTTATGAAGACGAATATAGGGAAACCCTTGGATCAGATGATGTTAATCAAGAGGAAAGAGAGGATTAAGATTTGAGAGATACTTCCGAAAACAATGATGAAGAGACCACTTACAATAACACATCCTGAAATCTTTCCTTGCTCCAATCAGTTCCCTATGATAGTAGAAACCACTAAGATCAGATCACAATCCTGTATACCCCTGACAGGCTCCAATTGTGGGAGGATTTGTAATTATGTCTATTAACTTTAACTTGTATATACCTTAAATACATTAGTTAATATAGAAACTCCACTTTGATTACAGTGTTGAGAGTAATTTGAGTCCTCGTTGAAACATACAAGCTGATATCATGCCTAGGTATTTGGCATAGATTGAATAAGAGCTTGTTTGATAGCTATGAAAGTCCCTGTGTGACATTTAGAGCTCAATTAATAGCTTTTTGATAGCTACGCTTGTGTCCCTTTGTGACATTTAGAGCTTGATTAATAGCTTGTTTGATAGCTACTCTTGTGTCCCTGTGTGACATTTAGAGCTCAATTAATAGCCTATTTCATAGCTACACTTGTGTCCCTGTGTGGCATTTAGAGCTAACAAAATCCAGCCCAGTGGTAGTGGCGTTGATAGTTCACGGGATATTAGCTATGTCAATCGTGTCTTGGTTGAGGCATTGATCAATTAATTGCTAGTGTCCGTATTGACATAGATAGCTAAGAAGATCGCGCCCAGTGGTAGTGTCGTTGATAGTTCATGGAATTGTAGCTGTATGGATTGTGTCTTGTTTAACTTTGATAGCGGATAAGTAGTGCCTGGACTGATACAGTTCTGGATGAAGTTTTAAGAGTATGGCATTTTCTACATGGATATTATATATTAGGTTGGGAAGGGGATGGAGTGGACACTGATTGGTAAAAAGGATCCTCAGTTACCACAGGTCAGAGCTTTAAATCATAGAAGGCCGGGTAGGGGAGGGGGGGGGGGGTTGTTGAGTGGGGGATAATGGGATTTTATTTTGGTGGAAGATTTTATGTTAGAAATATTGTTTTTTATTATTTTGTAAAGAATTCCATTACTGTTTTATCAAATTCAGAAAAATTGCAAAAAAACCCTTTTTTAAAATTTAGAATTCTATAATGGAATTCTGATTTCAGATGTTTTATCCGGTTGAGAATACTTTAACATTGAACAAAGGAGACACTGTTGCAGCTCGTTGCACAATGGTCAGCTACAGGTACAGTACAGTACAATATATTGGTTGGTTGGTAGAGTGTAGTACAACACAGTTTAGGACAGTACATTATAGTGGTTGGATATTGGTATAGTCCAGTACAATACAGTACAGGACAGTACAGTCTAGCATATTACAGTAAATTTCAGAACAGTACTGTAGAGTACAGTACAGTTCTGTACTGCACTGAGGTAAGAGTTACAGGTACATAGACCTTCATGTACATACAAAGAGCTTTGTTCAGTAGGTAATTCCAGGTACATAAATCTTTATGTACATTTGGTGAACCTTGTACTGTGGTTTGTTACAGGTACATAAGTATTCATATACATATAATGAACCTTGCTCAGTGATTATTTGTAGGTACATACAAATTCATGTACGCAGACCAGGCTATACATATCGAAAACTATACAGTGGTGGTTATATATAATAAGAACATTGATATAAATCATATAGTATACAAAGACTAGCATTTAAAGATGAAATGCCATTTCCCTAATTTTAATTCGTTTAAGATTCGTTTAAAAGTTTTCATCTCTAAATAGGTCTGGGTAGGAGCTACGGATGAAGATGAAATGTGTAATTTCTACATTATGTATAGGTCTCGTATAACCTGGGTAGGAGCTACGGATGAAGATGAAATGTGTAATTTCTACATTATGCATAGGTCTCGTATAACCTGGGTAGGAGCTACGGATGAAGATGAAATGTGTAATTTTTACATTATGTATAGGTCTCGTATAACCTGGGTAGGAGCTACGGATGAAGATGAAATGTGTAATTTCTACATTATGTACTGGGTCAGCGGAGATAAAATACTCAATAATGAAGTGTAAGACAAAATTTTCATTTTTTTAGCTTTTTTGAAAGCACAAAAAGCAGACCACACCTTGAAAATGCAAAAACCAGAAGTATTTTGTGGCAAATGATGCAAGAATTTTGTGAAATTATATTCAGGATTGATTGCCACAGAATATTTTAAAGATGAAAGACTGTCTTCAAATTGTCTCTGTTATTGCAGGTGTAGATCAATGGGTCCTCCTGTATACTCCTGGTCCGGTTGGTTGGTTGGAGGAGGACTTAGTAATATACCACAGGACGCATCTTCATTGGAATAGAATACAGAGAACACTTTATTATTGGAATAGAATACAGAGAACATGTTATTATTGGAATAGAATACAGAGACACTTTATTATTGGAATAGAATACAGAGGGTGCATCATCAATGGAATGGAATACAGAGGACGGATCATCAATGGAATAGAATATTTAAGAGGACATTGTCATTGGAATAGAATACAGAGGACACTTTATAATTGGAATAGAATACAGAGGACACTTTATTATTGGAATAGAATACAGAGGACACTTTATAATTGGAATAGAATACAGAGGATACTTTATTATTGGAATAGAATACAGAGGACACTTTATTTTTGGAATAGAATACAGAGGACACTTTATTATTGGAATAGAATACAGAGGACACTTTATTATTGGAATAGAATACAGAGGACACTTTATTTTTGGAATAGAATACAAAGGACACTTTATTATTGGAATAGAATACAGAGAACACTTTATTATTGGAATAGAATACAGAGGACACTTTATTATTGGAATAGAATACAGAGGACACTTTATTATTGGAATAGAATACAGAGGACACTTACAAAATAAACCAAAGGTCGCTTTTTGGAATAGAGTCTAAAGCTCTCAATGTTACGGTTTAACCAAATTTTTTTTTGTCATACTAGGTATGCAATTGTTAAATTTTGTTTGAGATATTTATGTTGTAAAATTTCGGTCATTTTTTAATTTGAAATATATACTGCACTCTTTTGTTATTCTAATTAACTATAACACTGACTGTAAGTGATGCATATATGTTTCCAAAAATGGGTTTTCTAATCAAATTAATCTCGGCAATTTGAAATTATTCGAACAGAAAACATAAACAACACTTGGCGAACAATTATTGAAAACAGTGGATCGTATTAATATTAATTATGTTTTTGAAGATTCAGAAAAGTTTGAATTTTATTTTTATAATCCTTCTTTCTTTATCTCAAGAAACAGAAATTAAATTTAAAAAGTTAATATTCAGATAAGTTTGAGTTTTTCTAGAAAATATTTCCAAGAGTTGCAGTTGTAGAAGGACTACAATACTTTCGTTTTTCAAGACATAATCTAAAAATATCTATACAATATGCATATATCCAATTCCAGGGCAATTTAAGCCGAATTTAAGTAGAAATAAATCCAACCATTAAAAAAAATTGAATCTGATTACCATTTTTTTAATAACAAAAAATCATTCTAGTTCTGAAGATTTAGTATTTGAGTGCGCTGACATTAATTAAATTAATTTCAATTAAGTTTAATTATATTAGTTAAACTGGAGACAATATATCTCCACCAGCCTTAAACTCAAACCAGAAATAGGTAAAAGGTTTAATTTTTACAATTTGAGGAAGACATTCGATATTTCAAGTTAAAAATGAGACATTTTATCGATTGAATTGCGTTTTTAGAATGTGTAAAAGTCAAGTTATAGCCAAATATTTATTTATAAATATAAAGACGATATCAAAGAAGCGTTATGTATATGTGATTTATGTGTAAAGTAGTAATCCCTATTAGGGTTTCCATTCGCAAAACTGTTGCGCAATTTTTGCGGAACGAAACGCAAAATTTTTCTTTCTTTGCGCATCTGTTTTGCGCGAAGAAACAACAATTTGCGCAATCATTCGCAAAAGTCATTTCGCGCAATCATTCGCAAAAGTCATTTCGCGCAAAATTTCCCTTTTCCGTTTTTGCGAAACTCAAGTTTTGCGCAATTCTGCAACTAGAGTTTTGCGCAATTTCGCAATTTTGTAAAAATCAAACGGTTGGTGACGGTGTGTGTTTCCTAGAATTCAATTCTTCCAGTGCTGGAAGGTTTTGTACCAAAATCCGAAACAGATTGTCCAGTAAAAGTCTCGACAATTTTAGTTTTGGACATGCATATTTCCTAAAAGTAGATTCTTCAGGCATTGGTTACTTTCTTGCATTATTTTATATGAGATTGAAAAGATTTCAGTAATTTGATTTAAAAAATTTAAGAATATAATTTATACTTGATTAGGCAAAGCTTTTAAGGGTCACTTGAAATTATTTAATAGGATTAAAATATTGCCAAGTTTCACACTCTCTAATTTAAACTTTTTGTAACTGGAGGCAACCAATTGAGTGTAGTATAATCGTTATCATACTCGTATGTTAATATTTTTTTAATGTATGGAATAAATCTTCAGTTGTTTAATTCTAAGCTTAGAATATCAATTTTTGACAATTTGCCTAAAAAGTTACATTTTGGGTAAAACTTGCGGTTTTGTGCAAAAAAATTGCCCAAAACAAAAATTTTGCGCAAAAAAATAGCGCAAAAATCAATGCGTTTCATACGCAAAAATAGCGCAAAAGTTCGCAAAAAAAAATTTTGCGCGAAAATAGCGCAAATTTTGCGCAAATGATTTAGCCATTTCGTGGAAACGCTAATCCCTATTGGTCTCTTTGTTTATTAACTGATGTCCGATCATAACTCAGGAACCGGATTTGATTAAGGAACTCGTAAAGGTTTAAACAGTCTAAATTGAACATTCTAGAGTCGCGTTTGATATATTAAAAACTGTTTAAGATTGATCGAACTCTTGTTCTAAGCTAGACTTAAAATATATACTGGTAAAGATATTTGTGTTTTCAATATAGAATCCGTCCTTACCACATCTATAGGGTTTACTTTCTAGTGAAAACTCCAGGTAAAGTTGAATGTCCAAGCTAATGTTTTTATAAAGCTTGAGTCTAAGTGAAAACTTCAGGTAAAGTTGAATGTCACAGCTAATGTTGTTATAAAGCTTGAGTCTAAGTGAAAACTCCAGGTAAAGTTGAATGTCACAGCTAATGTTGTTATAAAGCTTGAGTCTAAGTGAAAACTTCAGGTAAAGTTGAATGCCACAGCTAATGTTGTTATAAAGCTTGAGTCTAAGTGAAAACTCCAGGTAAAGTTGAATGTCCAAGCTAATGTTGTTATATAAACTCACTAAGTGAAAACTCCAGGTAAAGTTGAATGTCCAAGCTAATGTTTTTATAAAGCTTGAGTCTAATTCTCATAGATTCAGCCTGCTTATTCTTAGGACAGGGTTGACTTTGAACTGTAGCAAACCAAGAAACAAATGTTAACCAAAGACTTTGCTAATTATAAAGACGAGGCGTTAGAAATTTGTGTACGCCTGTACAGCTGTATTTTGACGTCATTGGTTATTATGGTTGCTTGAGAGTCAAACGATCGACATTAAAACCTTAGTTATTTAACAAAATTGTGCTAAAAATTGATTAAAATTAATGATATTAATTTGTATTTTAAAATTTATTTTATCATTTGTTAGATATAAGAATCGTCTGTTGAAATATATCTGAATTTTTGAAAAAGTTACGCATCTCTTTTTTTATCAAAAATAGTCAATAATTGTTTGTGAAAATTTTCAGATATCGTCAAATATTTTTCTGAGGTTCTATGGAATGGGATTTTAGGCGTTAAAGAAGCGTGGATACCAGAAATATCCAATATTACAAACGGTAAATAGATTTTGTGTAAATCTCGTCTTCTGTGTAATCTTAAGGCAAATAAAAAATATCACATGAATCTAATATTTTACTTAATACTAATTTATACTTACGTTCCACCGGGAACTAATGCTTGAATACTTATTCCTTTACTTCTGACCTCTATCTGAAATATTTAAATAGTTAAAATATTACTATAATATCATATACTTCAATAAAATAACCAATATTTGCTGCCCATGCATGTGTCGACTGGTTAAGAAGTTTAAAATACTGGATCCTAAACCCCTTTCTTCGACAAACTATGTTTTGATATTATAGTTCAGTACTTGATCAATGAAAGGAATGGTTAATACCTGTAAAACCTGGCTGAACTGGTTTACAAAGCAGTTACCAGTTGAGTACACTGTAGTAAAAGGTAAATAGTCGATCAGGGTCTCGAGGGATTGCAGATTTATCACTGCCCCAGTCTCCTACACAAAATCAAGGGTATTATTACCTCTTTTCAAAAATGTAATCAACTACTTACAACAGGTCCTTGAAAACTTTCAGCCAAACGATGAAACATTATTAAACATCTTTCTATCTGAAGGAAGGGAGTCATTTTATAATTGTTTTTGAAAAAATCCACGGGTCGTTTCTAAAAAATGTTCAAATATGAAAAACATGATATTGATATTCTTAAGATAAAAGTTGTAAAAGCGTTCATTACGCTTGTTAATTGGATTTAGTTTAAGTTTGAAAATTATTTTTATTTCAATGTTTTCAATAAATGAATTATTTTACCTATCTACCATTTCGGGGAGAACTGCAGAGTTACATTTATCATCGAAGACAGATTAACACTCATCATATCCCTGGTATAACTAGATTAGATACTGTATAAGTATATATGTACAATGTTTAATCAAGAATGATATATTGGATATAACTTCTTCTGACATTTCTTCTGCAGAAAAATGCAGAAATTAATGAGAATTAAATACTTGTTAATCTAGTAAAATGACGATATGTTCCACATTATTAATAAAGGTTTAACGGTAATTGGTCCATTTACCATTTACTAACTTTAATCAGATTGTAAAAAAAAACTTCGCAAACAATAAATAGTGTTTTAGGTATGGGCCGCAAATACATAAACATCCCGTATACTTTTGTTAACAATGGTTCAGTCCTCTCAGGGGCAGCTGCTGAAATATCTGAAGGTCCTGAACTCAACAAAAAATTCTCTGATTATCTTTAAGAAAAAAACTGATGAAAAGTTTTTTTGTTGTAAATATGACCAAAGGAGGACAATCTATAATGATAAACGCCCCTAATACGGCAAAGAAATACCTATTCATATTTCATATTTTTCATATTTCATATTCATATTTTTTTACATTTCTTAATATTTTCCAGGGAATAAAATTATCCAAAACCCTACTGGTTTCGCCGTTACATTTCTTTTTCTCGAAAAAGAAAAGTAGGATTAAAAATAGTCATTTTAGATATATTTTGCAGTTAAATTGTACAAATAGAATGCACTGATGTAATTGAGTAAAAATGTTTGTTAATAATTAACTTTTAACTTATAGACCACGCTCCTCTTAAACAAAATAAAAGTTGGATAAAAACACCTCCCTGAGTGAAAGCTGCTCACTCTTAGATTATAAAGTTTATATTAAGACCAGATATAAAATTTCTCTACGGCCGGCGATATCTTTTTTTTGCACAACATACAACGTTTTAAATCACAATTTTAGATAGCAAGGAACTTTCTCAATAGTTTTGGAAGAAAGATCACTTTACAAAAAAATTACGATGAATATAAAGTTTTTCTCTATTGTTTATCTCCTAAATTGATAAAAGTGCCAGGAGTCTGTTTTCCTAAATTATGAAATTTAAATAATACTCCTGGGACTCCCGCCCCCCTCTTTTATACTCCAGGGACCCCCCTCTATTTTCCAGGGAGCCCCTCCCTTCTATACCACAGCCCCCCCCCCCTCCTACCTCTCGATTCTATTAGCTATTCTTGAAATGATCCGTAATACAGGGTGTCCCAATAAACATGGGAATTAACATGTGGCATTTTTTCATGAACACAAAAATTGCAGTATTCCAGTTTACACGAATAATATTGAAAACGCCAGGTCTTGAGATTTACAAATGAGGTCTACCAATTTTGTCTCTTCAAAATTAACGGAGATATTGCAAAATTTGTACAAACTTCTATTTATGTAATAAATCAAAATTTTCTT